GAAAGAATGAGAGGGAATCAGGGAATGAAAACCAGGCAAGATCATAGCCTAGATCAATTGGATTTGTACATTGTTCCATATGCATGGCCACATAATGGATGTCCAATGAGTGAAGAAAGTAGAGATCATCAGGCTTCCAGTTTTTCACTAGACAGCTGCCCCCGCCCCCCGCCTTACCTAGAACTGTGTACTAACCAATTCCGAATTACAATTCCTCTTTTCTCTTCTAGGAGACCAAGGGGTGCTTTTTTTCCCCCAGGTTTTATTTTATTATTATTTTAAAATCACCTTTCTCCCAATCCCTGATGTGCAATAGTCTAACTTGGGCACAAGGGAAAAGAAAGGGCATAACAGAGTATGGGCAGGCACACAGGGAAATAACCAATCTGATTTTGCTTTGATTTCTGTTTCAAGTTCTATAATGACAGATCCCACTCCAGTGCAGTATGTTTTGGAAATAAAGTTAAAAGGGATATGTGATTGTTTTAGGTACATTTTAAGTGTTGACTAATACAAGGCAAATACCAGAACAAAAGAATAGTTTAATATAGCATTTTTAAAACCTTTTAGTATTCTAAGGCATCTGTGACCTGCTAAAATCTAATTATTTCTCCAATACCCTTTGGAATTGTTCAGAAAGAAGTGGTACAGTTTCTAACTAGTGCATTAAGCATCTGGCTTGACTTCACAGAATTCCAGATAGCTGAATGTGCACTCTCTATATTTTATTACCATTGCATAGGTGCATGCTGAGATGTAGTACTGATGTGTCCTGACACATATCACTACCTGTTGACAGGGGGACAAAAAAAAAAAAAACCCAAAAAACAAACAAACAAACAAAAAAAAACCACTGGACTAGATTAAGAGGGTCTACAAATAGAAAATCTTTAAAATATGTTTTGGCAATTTTAACAGAAACTGTAACTTTTTAAAAAATGAAAGAAAGAATAGAAAAAGAGTAGCTTCAACTTCAAAAATTTATAAAACATGCCCAAGTTTCAGATGCCAAATCCTCTGAAAATGAACTAAGCTCCAACACCCATTCCTTCCTTTTCAAACTAACAATACCCCATTTTCCTTTGGSCCATGCCTTCTCCATTCTCAGCTACCTGTTTGAGTAAGATTGACCTTATCTACAGATCCTATAGTGGCTTAAGCTCACCAGCATATCTACATTCTCATAAAATAGGTTTAGGAATGAGCATGTGATAAAGTTTAAACAAAGTGTGAACCTCAGGGCTCCATACAAGAGCTTCTGGAGGAGACCTCTCCTCACTCTAAGCTATGTGATATGAAAGTGATATGTGCAACTTAAGAGGAAAGACAGGAAGGGCCAAGTCTCCATTATATATAGCTTGACAAATCTGCCCACAATGAAAAAGGCAGAACAGAAAGTCAGAAAAACTGTACTCTTGTTGACATATTTTAAGCCACTCTATCAAGTTTTATCTGAAGCCATACCATACATTTGAACTTCTCAGTTACATGAGCTTACCAATTCTAATTGTTGATTTGGCAATAAGGCTTGGCCTTTCAATCACTTGCCTACAAAAAATTCTTAACTGATAATAGTCTAAGACCTTTAATAATTAAAAAAAAAAACCAGAACTGTTTTCTTTTTTTAACATCTTTTCAGATTTTATTTTCATAAGTAATAGTGAAGGAAATGAAAATAATCAAAACTATTTCTATTTGGGGTTGGTTTAGGGATCACCTAATCTTTTACAGGAGTAGTCATGAATATGTGTATGATGAATGAATGAATGAATTAGGTAGCTTAAGTATAGACAAGTTGGAAGACCCAGATTAAATTGTTCTATGAAATAATTACATCACAATGATTTTCACCTGGGAGTTAGTAACTAAAAGAGATTTGGTGGGGGGCAGGGTAGGGGTTGTTGTTCATTTTTTGTCTAAATATACAAGTTAGTAGCCAAGCTTGAAAAACCTAATTTCAAATCCAATCTGCCAAGTTTTCCACCAGGGAACACCTCAAATCTTCTCAAACAGATAAAAAAAATACTTTGATATGATAAGTTTCAATATTTTTAAGGTATAAAAACCGGGATAATTTTGGAGTTCATTTCTAAGTCGGTTTCCAATCTGAAATGCATGTTCTTATGTACAATGTTAGATTCCCAGGTTACCCTACAAAACATAAGAAAATGAAAAATAACAACAAATACTTTTTCAACCCCAAATACCTACTAGAACTCAACTAAGTTTTAAGTTCTTGGAACATGAGGTCATGAGATGCATGAGGACAATAGAAAAAAAAATCAATAAGAAAAATTTCCTTTTCCTCCATCTCACTTTCATTTCTTGTCTGAAGAACTATAAACACAAGAACAAAAGGAAATTTGAAAAATGAGAAATTTATTATTGGCCCTCTCCTATCTTTGTGCACTTTTTTCTCCCACTTCATAAAGTCCTTTTTTCCCAGATGTTCAGATGCTCCAATCTTAATAATGGTAGCTACCATTTTATTGGGTACTTAGTTTGAGACACTGAACTAATAAACTCAAAGACATTAAATAATTTGTCTATGGTCATGTGGCAAAGCCAAGAAAGAACCTGGGTATACAGGATTCTGAAGTCCATGTACTTAAACTTTATACTACACTGGTTTCTGCACACTCAGCTGAGTTCTTCCTGCTATGACAATCCATTCCCTTCCTTTCTATCACAGCCCAAATGTCATCATGCTTGTCAGCCTCCCTTCCCCTTCAACCAGGACATTCATCCTCTATGGTAATTAATCTCTTTTAGGAAACATAGTAGAAAAGCAATCTGAAGTAACTCCCTGTACTCTTAACCTTTCTAAAGGTGATACATACTATTTCAAAATGGGCACATACTATTATGAATTCACTTCCATCTGGCAGAATTTCAGGTTGCTGATCAAAGCAAGAAGTGACAAGAAAAATGGAACCATCAAGAATATATAATTTTGGAGATGGTAGGATAACCAAGGCTCTCTTAAAGAGTAGTTTTCCTCTAAAGTCAGTACCTCTAGTATAGATTACATTTTTCACAACACCTTCCCTTCTACATTTTAATCCTCAGCTTAAAAGGCAAAAAAAAAAAAAAAAGCAACAATCTATAATTGGCATTTAATAAATTCTTGCTGTTTTTATTTCCCATGTGAAGAAACCAAAGGCCACAGCGGGTATTTGAAGTCATATAACAAATGGCAGCCTGGGGAATGGAACCTTCAGAGGTCCTAACTCCTAGGCCAGTACATTTTCTTTTGAATACCTTTAACCCAAATGGCCCATTTATTCTTCTTTTCTGTTGAAGGCCTGCCTGAATGGAGAAAAAAAGAAAAACTGATTAAATATGAATATAAACCCAGAGGAATTTGGTCAGGCAAAAATTTCCTTTAAAAATAGAACTAACTCCCATCTGAAAATGGCTTCTAGAAAGAAATATTTTATAAAATAATTTAATCCATGTGTTTGTTTTGCCGTAACAGAAAAGAATCCACCCTTTCTTAAGAGATTAACTGTTAGTCCCACCTCCCTTTCTCCAAAAATTCAGCAGCTGCATCTCAGTTTAAATCATACTACTTAACAGTTCTAAGAAATTGGCTTTTCAATAGACATTAGGATTCTAAAACTCCTGGATTTAATGGGTCTGTCCTGGGAGGACTGCAAAAGTGCAATCATAGAACAATAGGGGTCATTACATCTCTCATCAAGGATTCACCTTCTATTTTGATATCCTCCATTCTTGGAGGAGAACACATAATGTGAAACAGCTATCAAACAAGCATATAAATAAACTAAATGAAGGTAATGAAGAGACCATGATTGTGTGTGTGTGTGTGTGTGTGTGTGTGTGTGTGTGTGTGTGTGTGAAAGATAGCTAGCTGGCCTCCCGAAACATTCTGAGGAATTTAAGAAAGCACAAAGGATGTGCAAGGTCCTGGGTTCAATACCCACTATAGCCAAAGTGAGAGAGAGAAAGAATAAGCTCATGAATCTCTAAGAATAAAGCAAATAAAAAAATTAAAGGAAATTGCCTTCTAGATAAATATAAAGCAAAATCTTCTCATCAACAGTAAAGTAAAATGCACTAACTTGGTGGAATACAAGTTGAAAGCAACTGTTGACCAAATTACAGAAAACAGTCTATAAAATTGTAATTGAACATTAAAGTGTATAATTTTGCTAAGTAGGCATAGAAATTTATAAACTCCATGTCTTATAATTGTCCCGTGTTTACTCATGTACCTAAATTAAAATAAAATAATTTAATCCAGGAAAAACCACTCCTGAAAGATTTTTTTAAAATATGTTTATATCTGAACCCATGCTCAGAGCAGCAGAAATATATCAGAAAGGAAAATATTCTATTTAATCCTTGTTAAACTTTGTATTTAGGGAAGGTTCTTAAATATAAATTACCTAATATCAACTAAGTTCTCAGTAAGGCGGACRAACTTTCATTGTTTTTAAAACGTATAGAACAATAACTTCTTCTTTACCTCCAAAAAAACAGACTATAAACTTTCATTTAAAAAAATTGGCATCCCTATCCCCTTTCCCTTAAATAAATTGGTTATTGAATAAGCTTTCTACTTATTTGAGAATAAATATTTAGTTGGGATTACTGGCCTGTATCTTCCACAGTTATAACATGTTTGCAACTAGTGAAAAATAAAAACTTGATTTTGTTAACTTTTTTTCAATACAGATGGCTTAAAATAAACAGAAATCTGTGGGGTTTTTTATTGTAATCTTATAAATATCCTTCTAACACACTTGGATTTTTTCTAAGTATGCTACCACTGCCTTGTAGTAGTAAACTTTAGAAAATGTTGAGATTCCAAAGGCTGCCTACAAACCAAATGGCWTTCTTGCTTTGGCAGGCTGAGCACCTCATTCCGGCTTCTCTCACCCCCTCTAGCGTTTGCAAAGCTCATCTGTCTGATTATCCAGTTACCTCACTGAACAAGAGCGTGGCTAAGTCCTGCCCATCTATGACATCACCCCCTTCTTCAACCACTGCGAGGTGAAGCTTTAAACTTCAGACTTGGAGGTGGGCTGTGTGCAGTAAACTGGAATGCTCTCCCTGGCTCACTCAGCGCAGGGGTGATGTGAAGCAGGGCAAGCTTAGGCTGCAGCTGCCGTTGGCTTTGTGTGGACTGGACGCTGTGTTTGGGAGACGAGGGAGGATTATTACTCCAATTCACAGTCAATGGAATTACAGCTACAGCAGACGTGTACATAAGATTGCTTTTTCTCATCTTCCTGGTAAGTGTTTTCCGTGTTTTTTCTTATGATTGTCCCAGAAAGTTTGCTTGGTTTTACTCCCTAGAAAGAAACGACTTAGTGCCATGAGGAATCCAAACAGGGATGTTTGCTCTGTCACCAGTAAGAGCAATATATGTGCGTGCAAGCCAGCAAGGAAAAATTTGACTAGACAACCAAATGCAAGAAGTTTCTTAAAACCTTTCATTTTTGAAAAATAATAAATAGCTACTTTCTACGTCGAGTAACTGATATTTGAAAAAGGCTTTATGGAAAACATCAAGTTGGAAAGTTAAATGTTAAATATTAGAGAATACAAGGCGGATTTTTTACAGATAGGAAAGTGAAAGGTCTTGCTAACTTGGTGTGTACTGTATGTGTGGTATGATCACCAATTGCTGTTTTTACAACTGTGAAAGGAAATCGATAATCCCTCAGCCCATGAGTACGCAGTACATGAAAAGCATACATCTTGCTCACAGCGAGCCAAGCYGAGCTTCTCCTGGAGACTTATGTGCCTCTGTAAAGGATTAACAGCTACACCTAGATTTTAAAGCTTGCACTGCTATCCTGCGAGAGCTCCTTCTAGCATTTCAGGGTTGCAAATCTCAACTAGTGAATTCAACTCAGAGGAGGGGGAGATTCTCTTCCAAACCATATTCCCCCTCTAGTAGAATGCCAAAATCCATTGCTTGGGCAAGTGTAGTATGTGACTAGCATAGTAACTGGCTAAGTCTACTCAGAAAAACTAACAAAGCTACCCAGAAAGCTATGCTTTTGATGTATGCAATGAGTTCAGGGTAGAAGGGAAAAGAATAAATGAGTAGCGCCCTCATCGAGTGGGATATGCAGAGTATCCATTCACTTGCAACTCGTAATGGAAAAAATCTTACATTGGAACAAATGCATTATACTACAATGCTTTCAAAAAGTATCTTCTCAATCTTTTTTTTTTTTTCAGTGAATTAGGTCTGAAACAAAATGGTTGCATAGAGGTAAAGAGTGCAACAGGCCCATATTTTTCCAACATCTGTAGGATATTTATTAATTTATTTAAAATTAAAAAGAAAAAAATTGATTTTCTACAATTATGGAGCCAAATTCTCCAACAGTTTTAAAAATCAACATTTTAAATTTTCTTAAGAAATACATCTGCTTTTAAATGCACATGTATGTTATTTTACTTGCTTAAAACATGAATAAATCCACTAGAAAAGTGCTTCAGCTGTAGCAATGCCTTTCATTTATCCCTAACTACATAAAAATGCCATGACCARTATAAACATAAAGAATGAGTTTGTCTGTTTTCAGGTAGAATCACTTATGCCTGCTCAAAGTGACAGATGATTAATCCTCATCTCTTTGGAAATGAGTAAAGAAAAATTAATCCCCTAAAAATACCACAATAATATTATTATTACTATACTACAAATATAAATAAAAACATCAAATTTTAATTAGAAGGTTGATGTGTCACTTAATTTCGAACATATATGTACTTGGACACACAGATAYACACACACACACACACACACACACACGTATTTATTAGCCTGAATTTTAAAACAGGGTTAAAAAAATGTGATTGCATGTACTTAACTAAGAAAATTACAGTTAAATGTTTTCCTAAATAGAGCCCTGCCAAAATATATCAGGTCCAAGGATCAGCAAAGTGAATGAGTAAACATAATGAATTCATTAATATTATATTCCAGTAGACCATCTATCAGTTATTAATTGGGCTTTTCATTTCTCTACACACCCCTTTGCTTTTTTAATCAATTATGGTTACATTCAAAAGGCCTAATTAAACACTTCCTAAACATAAAGTTGTGAAATATATAATTGGGCAGCAAATAAAGTTTTTATCAAAAAGAAGAAAAACAGTAAGAAAATTTGTCATAACTAAATGTGGCAGCAAAATAGAAGGTATGTTTCTTTTGCTTTCAAGTGTTAATTAAGGAGCCTCCAATTCTATCAAAACTTTTTCAAAGCTAAATGAAGCAGTGTGAAATAAATTTGGTTGAAATCTTGTGGCTGTCAGACTTTGTTAGCAAGCTATTAATTATCTTTACCCCAGTTTCTTCTCTAGACTATATTGCCCAATCAAATAGAAACGCCAATTATGCTCAGCATCTTCTGCCTAGGGACACAAGACCCTAATGAACACTGGGTCTCTCCAGATGAAAAATACAATTATCAGCTTTAAATATGCAAAGCAGTGCAGAGAGATTTTTCTGTGCTCTTCTTGGCCATAATTCCTAAAGCTTTCTCTTCTTTCTGCATTATTTTGAACAATTTTAAGCCCAACAAAAATCAGTAGCAAAAAAGAAAAAGAAAAAAAAATCAGTAGCTGGGAATTTGCCTTGTCTTAATATTATATTGGTGTTTCTTCTTTCTTACTTTTTAGTTTTGCTATGCCAATGCTCATGCCAATATTAAATTAAATCTGGCATTTAAAATATATTTGAACTAAAGTTGCCATTTCAGTCAATTCTCAACTCTCCTCCCCTTTTTAAGGTGGTGGGTGGGCTACTTAACAAAGAATGTGATTAATAGTTAGATCCAGAGCTAACTTTAAAATTTTGAATAAATCCCGTTTTATATTCTCTTATTCATACCACTTTATTTAAAAAGCATTATAAATAATGGTCTCACTTCAAATGAAGATCACCATAAATGAAGTCAACTAGGGAAATAAGGTTCTGTAAATTTTTCAAAGGCCTTGATTTCTCCCCTTCCTTCTCTCCTCCTTTTTCCTTCCCTCCTGCCCCCCACCTTTTGCCCCAGAGGCCTTCACTGTTCTTCTCAACAGGAGGCTTTGTTGTAATTAAACCAGAGAAAAACTGGCCAGCAGCAGCCAACATCTGACTTGCCGCTTCTGAAAGCAGTGTTCTGGTAGAGTGTACCACCCCCCAGCGGGCAAAAACTCTACAGTAAATCTCTCAGCAATATTAATCCTCAAAATGGCATTTTCTCTTCAGAGCATAAAAAGGGATATTTCTTGTCTTCTTCTAACATCCTACCATTTCAAAAATTTACTAAAAGTCAACAAACCTATTTCCAACAAAGAGATGATTAGTAAATATCTTCCAAAAGAGCYGTCTTCCTTTTAATAACTGATATAGGTATATACATTTAAGAAAGCATTTTCCATTTTCAAAATGCAGATCAACATTACTAAATTTAGTTACACGTCACACTAAAAGACAGTTTTGAAAGCCATTTTATATTGTACAAGAGAGCATGTTTCAGGATTTTGTTTTATCTATTAACAAGAAATCCAGAGAAAAGATTTTAAGTACAAAGGAATAAACTATAAGCAACAGCTAGACTTTAATTTGTTTACACTTGCATAATCTCTTTCCTAGCCCCAAATCAAATGTCAGTAATATATAAAAAAGCTCTCTCCAGGTATGAGTCTGTTTAAAGGAAAGGAGGGAGAAATTGCTCTCACTTGATGGGACAATGACAGCTTTTGTTCTTTATTCTTTCACTTTACATGTGCAAAAGTTACCTTGGTAACTTTGGAGAGAAAACCCACAGACCACATTTGCTTAAACACCATTTTTAATGTGTGCCACTGGACTGTAGATTGATCAACTTATGTGTTGTTGATTTTCTTTTTCTTCATCTGGTTTAAATCAATAATATGCTACTCCTACTTGGATATGAAAAAATGTATCTTATGATTTTAGATGTTTTCACCCACTAGCACAGTGCTTGCCACATGGTTGATTTAAATAAATATTTGCTGAACTAGTGTATGGAAATTTAAATATTAGAAATTTAAAGCCAAATAGTGTTCACACAATTCCTGGAAGAGGAATTTCAGATTTGCAATTAAAAAAAAAAAAGTTTGTGGTTTAACAAAAGTAAGCACCCTTTTAATTACACTTGCTCAAAAGTCAGCACAAACTTAAAGCATGTCCCTGCTCCAAGCTCTCTACCACTTATCTTCACCACCYGCTATATTAACATCTTATTCATTCTTACAAGTTGTGGTTCTTTAATTCATTAAGTCTGGCTTTAATATCATAAAAGGAGAACATTCAATATGATGAAAGATAACATCTCAGTTTGCCTTTTTTGTTTTAAGGATGCTTGATTTAACTTTACAAGCCAAAATAAATGAAGMAGAATTACATTCATTCATCACAAACTCATTGGGGAAAAGAACCAGTAACATGAAAGGAGAAAGTAAAAATCCTTTGCTTTGGAACTTTTAGCCCCTATTTTCCATAAACAAAACAAAACCTTCTTCAGGCTAGAAAATAGTGTGGATAAAGCCAAGTATAAAAAAGGAATACTTGCTTCTCTGCCTCTCAGCAAACCCTTATGATTTCATGACTCTCAAGAGGAGAGTTAGAGGTCCTTCTGCTTGTCTGGCATTAAACAAAAGAATTGGAACTTTCCTGAAATCTGATGATCGTGGAAAATTTAACTACCAGGCAGGCTGCTTAGAAAGCATTTTACTGTCACTATCAACTAACCTGAAATTCTCCAGTTTTTTTCAGTTTAACCATATACATAGTTTATTTGAAATACCTTTTGTTGTTGCGTTCACAGGTTGTTGATTTTTTTGAGCTTTCTAGAAAAAATTTGAATCTTAATAAGTGAATTATTTTCCTTATACTCTAGATGATGACTGCCATAAGTTCTAATTTAYCTAGAAATATTCACAAACTTGGATAAATTAAGCATGGGTTTTCTTCAATATCAAGATTTTATTCCAAATAATAATGCAATTATTCTGGATTAAAAGTTCTACATGCTGTTTTCTGATTGAATATTTTTAAAGTTCCAATAAAAAGAAACCAAAAATTTAAAACCTTATACTTGGTCCTAAGATTGTTAAACAAAAATGATTAATAATCAAACAAGTCAAATCAAAATCAACTTAAACAGAAGGTACCAAATAAAGCATTTAGGAAGTTAGCACTATCATCATCTATCTTCATTTTAGTATAAGTTGTATTCTYAAAACATGGGAAATACCTTCTTCTCTCAAATATTTCCATATCAAAAATATTGTACTAGCAAGAAGAAATCATGTAAATATGCAGATTGCCTCAAGTTCTTGATTTTATTTCAATATCACTTTTCTCTTCAGATATGACTCCTTAATTTCTATTAGTTTTCCTAAAATATTTCAAGATGATAGCATCCTCGTCTATTTGAATGTTTTCTTAGGTGTATTCTGAAAATAAACTAGAGGGAAACTTTTTAGACTTGATGATTACATTATAAATGCAAAAAAACAATTGCCTTTGCAATTTTTTAAGACACTGAATAGAAGGATCCCTATTAAAATTTTGATTCACCAGTAAGTTGATTATGTGGTTTCTTCTTTTTGCTAGTTTTAAGTGCTATATACTTAAATGATTCCATTAAAATAATTTTAAAACATTCTTCTAAGTAACCAGGCTCCACATACATTTTTCCACCAAGTTACCCCATTAACAATATTTTTCTAAAAGATCGATTGCTTTTTGTTCAGAAGTAATGGCTTCTTTCAAGCCTATGCAGACAGAAAAGCTCTGAAGTSGATGTTGTGGAAACCTGGCCACAGTGTCCATGCCGATGGGGGTCATTTTCTTTTCATCATTCACATTCAACTACAATGTCTGTGGATATGGAGATGCAGCTCAGATAGGAGGAAGTTGAAATATTTGTGTCAGATTGCTTTCTTTTGATAGAGAGATATTCATTATAGTTTTTAATATGCCAAAAAAACCTCTCTGGCACTATATTTTCAAATATAAAGGGGTAGATGATCAAAAAATTCAGTCAAACATAAATTGAACTGTTTTGAGCCTAACTGTAGGGAATATGAGCAAGTSAGAGAAGCTCTAAGCAAAATCTTCATTTGTGAAAGAGAATCCTTTCCTAAGAAATCTGTTTTATGTTTTAATGCAATTTGGAAAGGACATTTTCCACGAACTTAATGAGATTTCGTTTTCTGTTAATCCTACATTATTACTACTATTGTATGAATGGAAAATGTGAGTTTGCATATCAAACAGCAGTGGAAGCCGGTTCACAAATGTAAAACAGGTAAAATAAACAAATTAATCTTTCTTCTTTTCACACCAACTTAGTTTTTTTTATATCTTTCTCTCTGTGGGTTACAAATGTGAAAAACAATACATATTCTTAGAACCTGGTTTTGTAAAACCAGATATAAAATTAAAATGGAGATGCTTCATCTCTGTTCATTATTATGATCATCACTTTGGATATGTTGTGATCTGCCATGACTGGGGACAATCAAAGATTTTAAATTCCCATTCAGCTGATTCACCTGCACTTTAGATTATTATGTCTTGCCTTATCAGTGTTCCTGAATATAAGAAATGTTTGACTATTAGTGATTTTAAGCAAGTTCTCACTTGTTGTCTTTATAATAATTTTAATTAGTTTCTAATGCAATTACATTACAGTATTTGTTTCTAAATTTAAATTAACCACATTATTTTATATGCTGATTAATTTTACAGCTTAGAAAATATTTAAAGCAAAAAAATCTTWAAAATAACTTGTAATTATAATTTCAATAGCTTGGTTTTCTATTTTCACAAACAGAAAGCAAGAGTTTACAAGATAATTCCACAATAATTAGCAAAACTCTCACATTAAACAATAAATCATTTAAAATTTTTCTCTGTGTACCCTTTGCAATTTTCACTAGAAACTTCTTTATCTATCTATTGCCATTTTCATTTCAAGTTGCCCTAATAAATTACATGCAATTTTTTTCAACTTTTCTTCTGTTAATAAAGTCTGATGGCATTGGCATCAAATGGTAGACTGAAAGACACAGAATTTTCAAAAGAACCAGAATCAAAAAATTATGACATTATTTAACATACATATTCAGTAGAGAGTTTAAATTCTGGAACAGATGCCATCCTTGTTGGACACTAGGTAATAGTTGGCAGAGAAGCAAAWTGCTACTTTAGTCCTTAATCTTGAGGTCAAATATTCCCATGATACTCAAGTGTTCTCTATATGTAGAGAAAGCATCTGAGTGGGTGACCCTGCATCACTGATACTGAACTACCAACCTAATCCTAGCCCTAAAAATCCTCATGCATATTAGTTAATGGCAGAACAATCATCATTAAAATCACTGGTCTCTTTAGTCAAGTCTTCTTTCAGAAATGAAAAGTACATTAGTGGAAATTTGTATGTTCATGTTTAGCCTAGAGAGAAATGCCCAATCAGGTTTTGATATGCTTTCTAGGTGGTCATTATATGGGTGTCCTTTCTATTCCAAATACAGATTTTCCAAGTTCACTGTATGAAAAGAAAATTATAGTAGTATTTTCCTAAAAAACTAACTTGAACTTTTATGCCACCTTTTAGGCAAGAACACTTGAGGGCCTAGAATTTCAAAATCACTAAGGAGCCCCCAGACACACCCCTAAAGAGGAAGGTGATGGTGTCCACCTTCTGCAACTGGGAATTCTTCCTGCAGAAAGAATAAAATAGGGAACTAAGCAAATAAAAAGAAAAGCATTAAAGCAAAGTATTTTCAACCTTTCAAATTGGAGATTGTATAACTTTTGTAAAACTGTGGTCAAATGTTTCAAAAAGTTACCATGGCACTTCTGTCAAAAGTCTTTGTTAAATATTTACTCACCTCTTTGACATATACTTGTTCTTTTCKTTTTAAACATTTTATCATTTTATGCCTAAGACTTAAAGTGAACTTATGAAGATTATCCTGAAAAGTCATGAAAGGGGCTTATGCTATGAATCAGTTAAGGGTAGAAACGATCTGTTGGCTGACAATGTCATATTATCTCCTACTTTATTTATACAGCTAACTGGGAAGCATAAAAACAAAGCACTCAATAAATCCCTTTCCATCAGCTACTATACTAAAGATGTGTTGCTTAAAGAAAGAATTGAAATTAAATTTCTAGGCAATTTCTCTAATTTTTTCAAGTTCATTATTAATAGTTCATTAAAACCTTTTACTTTCACAGGAGATGCTCAATACCAGTATATTTTAAGGAAGAAAACTATAAAGAAAATTTAGTATGCTTCTTTTTCTTTCCATGAAGAATATATGAATTGTTTTCTTACCTCTTAAAAGAGAATACATGTTCTTGTATAACGTGACTGCACCAGAAATTCTAAGAAAGCAGCAAGAAGCAAAAGCTGAAAATAGCTATTTCACAGCAGGTAATCATACCTCAGGATGTAGCTACTGTACAAAGTTTATACTTGGATAATCCTGGATGGGAATAAAGGTAGGGGGTAACTGCCTGAAAAAAAAAATAAAAACCTATTACTATACAGGCCCTAGCATCATGAATGGCTTTCTTCATGAGGATCTGAAGTTACTATCTCTGCCCACATTGCACAGAAGAGCCAATAAGAATTTCAAAGAGGGAAAGTTCTACTAAGGGAATTAAGCTACACAAAAGGAACCTTCACACAGAAACTCTATCAGAAAGAAAAAAAAAAAAAAATATATATATATAGGAAGCCATGTGTCCTACATAGTAACAGGAAGCTGAATTGTTTCTGGCCCCCACTTTAATGAGCTTGCCCACCATGCTGAACCGCAGCTGGAGTGTTCATTGACAACAGTGAGCCTGACCTGGAGGTGTGTCCGGCATAGGATTTCTTGAATAAACAGTGAAGAACATTTCCAAGGACTAAACAAGAGTTTATAAGTCCCAGCCCCTCACCAGGAAAATAATATATGTGCATTTGGACTTTCACCCACGCAAAATTTACTCACATCGTTAAATAAGGTAGGAAAAATATTAAGTGTTTTATTTTCATGCCTAAAATTAGAAAGGCTAATAAATATCTAAAAGTGCAGAAAAGTTTATATGACACAATATAGATTGGTATAAATCTATAAATCACCAACCCATGGGGGAAGTTGAATCATGTACTAGGTTAGAATTTGAAGAAAAATAAATGAATTGCGAAAACATGTTATGGGCTAGAAAATAAGTAAAAATGTGGATAAAGTCATTAAAACATGTGATATAAAACATAAAAAAATCAAATCCAAGGAAAAGAATACTTTAACATGAATTAGAATTTTCCATTTAGATTAGCTGCACATATTAGCTATAAAATTACCAAAAGTAAATAAATGAAAGATTCCTTTTTTATTCTTTTTGTTTTTAAGCAAGGTTTACTATTAATAATCCAAGAAAGAGAAATTCCATTAATAATCAAATCAAATGATTGGCTTTAAGGAGACTGAGAATCTAAAGGTGCATGAAACTATTCCTAAATAGTAAAAGAATAGACTTTGTTTTTATTACCCATTTGTACAAACTGTGGTCTTTTACTTAATAAGAAAGTAGAAATAAAAATTTGGTTTTTTAAGAAAAGTGAAATTATCATCTTTATAACAAATTATATTTCTTATGTCAATTATTATGAATATTAAGAAATCATTCAAAATTTGATTAGCTTGATTAGTGACTGGTTGTAAAATTAATATTAAATATCATTAAAATACTTTAGACTATTTAATAAAACTCTAATTATATTTAACATTTCAAGATCACAACATTTGGGACATGATGCTTTTTAACTTATATACCAGAAATATTCAAGGTAAAGAGGTTGATTATATGATTGTGTTCATTGTTAACAACCAATAACTCCTAATATGCCCTTGTCTAAACAATTAAAATACTAAAAGTGATCACAAATGCTTTAGTTATCTCTGTTTTAAAGGCTCTCTTCAGTATGGGAGTCTGATGATTTTCTTTCTTTTCTTACTCCATTTTAGGGCTCTGAAGTAACAGAAAATCTTTGTGTAAAGACCTCAACATTGCTGACCATGATCAGCCCAGCCTGGAGCCTCTTCCTCATTGGGACTAAAATTGGGCTGTTTCTTCAAGTGGCACCTCTATCAGTCATGGCTAAATCCTGTCCATCTGTGTGCCGTTGTGATGCGGGTTTCATTTACTGCAATGATCGTTTTCTGACATCCATTCCAACAGGAATACCAGAGGATGCTACAACTCTCTACCTTCAGAACAACCAAATAAATAATGCTGGGATTCCTTCAGATTTGAAAAACTTGCTGAAAGTAGAAAGAATATACCTATACCACAACAGTTTAGATGAATTTCCTACCAACCTCCCAAAGTATGTAAAAGAGTTACATTTGCAAGAAAATAACATAAGAACCATCACTTATGATTCACTTTCAAAAATTCCATATCTGGAAGAACTGCATTTAGATGATAACTCTGTCTCTGCTGTTAGCATTGAAGAGGGTGCATTCCGAGACAGTAACTATCTCCGACTGCTTTTCCTATCCCGCAATCACCTTAGCACAATTCCCTGGGGTTTGCCCAGGACTATAGAGGAACTWCGCTTGGATGATAACCGCATATCCACTATTTCATCACCATCTCTTCAAGGTCTCACTAGCCTGAAACGTCTGGTGTTAGATGGAAATCTGTTGAACAACCATGGTTTAGGTGACAAAGTTTTCTTCAACCTAGTTAACTTAACAGAACTGTCACTGGTACGGAATTCYTTGACTGCTGCACCAGTAAACCTTCCAGGCACAAACCTGCGGAGGCTTTACCTTCAAGATAACCACATCAACCGGGTGCCCCCAAATGCTTTTTCTTACCTAAGGCAGCTGTACCGACTTGATATGTCCAACAATAACCTAAGTAATTTACCTCAGGGTATCTTTGATGATTTGGACAATATAACCCAATTGATTCTTCGCAACAATCCCTGGTATTGTGGGTGCAAGATGAAATGGGTACGTGACTGGTTACAGTCACTACCTGTGAAGGTCAATGTGCGTGGGCTCATGTGCCAAGCTCCCGAGAAAGTTCGTGGAATGGCTATCAAGGACCTCAATGCAGAACTGTTTGATTGTAAAGACAGTGGGATTGTAAGCACGATTCAGATAACCACTGCAGTACCCAACACAGTGTATCCTGCTCAAGGACAGTGGCCAGCTCCAGTGACCAAACAACCGGATATTAAGAACCCCAAGATCACTAAGGATCAGCGAACTACAGGGAGTCCCTCAAGAAAAACTATTATAATTACTGTGAAATCTGTCACCTCTGACACAATTCATATCTCCTGGAAACTTGCTCTACCTATGACTGCTTTAAGACTCAGCTGGCTTAAGCTGGGCCATAGCCCAGCATTTGGATCTATAACAGAAACAATCGTAACAGGGGAACGCAGTGAATACTTGGTAACAGCCCTGGAGCCTGACTCACCCTATAGAGTATGCATGGTTCCCATGGAAACCAGTAACCTCTACTTATTTGATGAAACTCCTGTTTGTATTGAGACTGAAACTGCACCCCTTCGAATGTACAATCCTACAACCACACTCAATAGAGAGCAAGAGAAAGAACCTTACAAAAACCCCAATTTACCTTTGGCTGCCATCATTGGTGGGGCTGTGGCCCTGGTGACAATTGCCCTTCTTGCTCTAGTATGTTGGTATGTTCATAGAAATGGGTCACTCTTCTCAAGGAACTGTGCTTACAGCAAAGGGAGGAGAAGAAAGGATGACTATGCAGAAGCTGGCACTAAGAAAGACAACTCTATCCTGGAAATCAGGGAGACTTCTTTTCAGATGTTACCAATAAGCAATGAACCCATTTCAAAGGAGGAGTTTGTAATACACACCATATTTCCTCCTAATGGAATGAATCTGTACAAAAACAATCACAGTGAAAGCAGTAGTAACCGAAGCTATAGAGACAGTGGTATTCCAGACTCAGATCACTCACACTCATGATGCTGCAGGACCTGCAGCAGACTGTGCTTCAGGGTTTTTAAAACCTAAGGGAGATGATGGTAGGAACCCTGTTCTACTGCAAAACACTGGAAAAAAAAATAAGACTGAGAAAGCAATGTACTGTACATTTGCCATATAATTTATATTTAAGAACTTTTTATTAAAAGTTTCAAATTTCAGGTTACTGCTGCGATTGAAGTAGTGGAGATGCCTGAACACAATTCTATATTTTAGTATTTTTTAGTAATTTGTACTGTATTTTCCTTGCAAATATTGAAGTTATAAACCATTTACTTTGTGTTCTACTGAGTAAGATGACTTGTTGACTGTGAAAGTGAATTTTCTTGCTGTGTTGAACAATCAGGACTGCATTCACATGAGATCCTTGTAGTATAAGCACAGGCCATTTTTCACTTTGGTATTAATAAAATGTAAAAATAAAAACTGGCTGAATGAGAAAAATTAAATCTCAAAATAGTTATGAAATACTGTTTCAATTATTAAATTTGTATTATCCCAGTGGTAGTCAATAAATCAAAATATGTGAAGTAATGGGCAATATCAAACTTGCTGCATATCTCCATTTTTACTCTAGGCAAATTAAGTATCCTTAAGTTAAGCATATCTTCTGAACTGAATATATATCAACTGGCATAAAAATAATGTGAAGTCTGCTGTTACAGTCATTGTCAACAAAGCTTTAAGAATAAAGGACTTCACAAAAACAATAATATAAATGTGCTTCTAAGTTAGGGGGAAAATCTATACTTAAAAGAAATGAAAACTTAGACTTATATAGTGCAATAAACACAAATACTAGAATTGCATTTTGGTTTTGCCTGTACCATCCTAATTTTTGAAAATTGAATTCTAAACACAAAATTGTTAGTGTTTATGATGTTTTATCATAAGAGATATCAAAGAGAAATTTTATATATATTAAAAAGATAGCATAACCATAAGTGATTCCCCTCAGCAATCCAGAGAAAGTAGAACTTTAAATAAGGGAGAATTTAAAAGAAAAATAAATACTAGAAATCAAATTTAGATCTGGTCTATGTGAAATTTTTTAACACTGTACATAAATGTCCAATTTACTTTCACAATGATCAAGAATACTGCCCATTACTGTCACAGTTTTCCAGATATTACATAATAAACTTGTAATGTAACATTTCTTTCTAGCTTCCTACTGAATTGTGAGCTATTACTTGTTTAAAAAACCATATCATTTTTTGTTGCCATGATTTTTTTTCAATGAAAAACCAAAGTGCATTGTACGCCCTTTGGCCAGTCTTGTATGTGCCTTGATCCAACGCTACATGTATTCAGCTTTTAAAACTCGACAAATTTTTCATACTTACTTAAATATGAAAAATTATGGTCTTATTGCTGAATAAAACTTAAGAAAAAAGTACAGAATAATTGTGCTTGCTTTTGGGATTATGTTACTATCACTAAAGTAGCAAATTGGCCAGCACATTAGTCCTAAACACCCCATGTATTTTTCTAGGCATAAAAATAAAAGTTGGCTACAAATAAAAAAATAGCAATATCTTGAGGTTGTGTATTATTTTTACTTCAAAGAGTGAGTGTTTCATGTATAAATTCATTTTTTAAAATTTTACTTACATATTCTATAAATGGAAAACTTCAGAAATTGATTYAGGGCAATGCATGCATTACTGCTATTGTCCTGACTGATGCTTTTTAAAGATGGTCTGTGAAAAAATAATGTGTTTTTTAAATAGCCTTTTTGGAAATCTAAGTCAACTATAAAAGATATGAAATATTATATCTACCACTTAGCAGGTATGAACTTAAAAAAAATGGCTTACCTTTCTTGGCTTAGTTTACACACATGTAAATGGAATTCCTCCCATATYACAGAGTAGTTGTAGGAGGGGATTAAATAAGATGAGGTGTGTGAAAACTGTACAATGTTCTACAAAATATGTTACCACTATTATGGTTAAGAAAAGTCTGCCATGTGTTCYAAGAGGTTTGCAAGGTGTTGCTACTTCTACTATTCTGCTGACACAGAGCTCTTCAACTGTGAAATTTTAGTCATTATTCATTTGCTGTCTTAACAGTGTTTCACGATAATTTTTCTTTTGACTTCCTGTTATGGAGAATGGCTGTTTTCTAGGACCATTGCATTTGACTATATTCCAATTAGTATACCTTTCATGAGCAAGGAAAATTTAATGCATGCTTTAATACTGATTACTTCACCTGCAATAAATTAGAAACATGTTTTATACTAGCAAATACACAGAGCACCAAGAGAATAAAAGCTAATTTTTTACCTTCGCTTGTTATGAAATCTAAACACATAGAGAGATACATAGATAGTTGTAGTTAAAGATGTAAGAGAGAGGCAAAGACAATAGGACCACCTCTCCACCTCAGAAGGCATTAAATTGTACACATATTTCCATATGTCCCAAACTAAATGTTCACAATTTTTACTGATAAACTCCAACTCTTGCACTAATAGAAAATCATAGGAAGAAAAAAAAAAGACAATCGTAAATAAATAGCATGTAGATTTAACAAAAATGCAAGTGGGAAAGCTAGGTGAAAAATAAAAGTAGAAGGAAAAAAATCACTCCCATATTGAATGTTTGACCAAAAAAAAAAAAATGTTTTTAAACACAGTCACTTGTCACTGCATAAAATCACTGCACTTACACTCTCATTCCCTATTAAAAACAACACTCTATCTTTTGACAAGGATGATTTGCCATATAATTTATATCAGTACCCCTGAGCCAAAGGTACTAGTAAAAAAAAAATACTAACTACAGTTCCTGACTAAAGTAGATTTTACAGCTACATGCCAATATGACAGTTTTCATGAGGCTTCTAAACAGATCCACACGCTGTACAGTACCATCCACCACTGAATTTACTTTAATATTAGTTCACCTGCTGTTGAAAACAATAGTGGTATTTAAAATTATAATTTCTTTCTCCTATTTAGCATGATTAGCAAATCTTCATTTACCATAGTCTTGGATTCACAATTACTGTCCTTTTGGTTTGGGATTTTTGGTCAAATTAGGAAAAACAAATACATACTTATCAACAACATTAAGAATTTCAAAGTTCTCTAAAAGCCAATGACTTATTGAATGGTTTCTATTTTATAAATAGCAGAAGCCTTGCCTTCATGAATTGTGTTGTCTAGAAGTTTTAGGACATAACCATAATCTACTGAGAGTTTATTGCTTCTGAAGTACAGAGGAAGAAGCAATTACATCTATTTGGATGGATCACCAAGACTTCATAAATAAGGTAAAATTAGGGTTAGGTGTTGAAGGGTAAGAAGGAATAACAAGAAAGCAAGAACAGCGGATCTGACAATGGAAAGAAAATAATTAACAAAATCACAAAGACAGAAAAATGGACAGTGTTTCTCAAACCCCGCTTTGATCAAAATCACTTAGGAAGGTTTTTACTAAGACACTCAGGCCTCAATACAGACTTACTAAATTAAAATCTCTCAGGTTAACTATGGGCATTTATATTTTTTAAAATTCCAAAGACAATTTTGATACTGTTAAAGRCCATTGATATAGGAGATGTTCCGAGAAAGGCCAAAAGTCCAGTTGAAATACAAGTAAGGAAGTTAAGACAAGAAATGGGGCTGGGGCTATAGATCAGTGGCAGAGTGCTTGCCTAGCACATGTGAGTCATTGGGTTTGATACTTAGCATCTCATAAAAAATAAACAATTAAAGGATGCTGTCCATCTACAAATACAATTTAAAAAAAAAGACTGAAAATGATATGTATGTCAGGCTCTGTAGTACATTGAATCCCAAGCTAAGAAGTCTGCATTTATATTCTTCACCAAGGCTTTGTGAGTACCTGGATCAATAAGCAATGCACTTTAGTAACATTTTGTAGGAATAAAAAATACACAGAAGAATGCAGAGAAAATCTGGAAGCAAATAGACAAGCTAAAAGGCTATGCAATATTTCAAGTAAAGGAAATAAGGGCTTGAATAGTGCATTGACAGTGCTGTGGAGTTAGGAAAAGGAAGTACATTCCTTCCTAATGTCCCAAAGATAAAGGAAGGAAGGAAGGAAGGAAGGAAGGAAGGAAGGAAGGAAGGGGAAGGGAGGAAGGAAGGGGAAGGGAGGAAGGAAGGGGAAGGGAGGAAGAAAGTCAGAGAAAGAAAGGCATACTTAAAAGATACAGGAAAGAGTAGAATGTTGAAGATGATGAACATTTTCAGCACAGGTAAGTAGAATGCTGGTGAAGCAACAAAGATTGAAGATGGGAGAAGCAGACTTCAGAGTATTTTGTACATACATATTAGGTATGAATGAGTGATRTATGCACATTACAGGTTTACATTTGCTAATTATGAATAATAGTGCCCACTTTTAACCCTCAGTAGTGACCTAGTTTGGATGATTAAAATCATCTAAGGGATTCAAAATACTTTTATGTTATCCCTTGGGAAATGTCTCTTAATAGGTTCAAAATAAAGTCTGAAGACAGAAGCTCAGCATTAAGGAAGAGAATTCATATCCAAGAGGTTGTTATTAAAGTTGAGAGGGTAGATGAGACAACCAATAGGAAGAGAGGAGGAAAAAAGAGATGAGGTAAAGGACATCTACCAGTAGGGTAGAAGAGGGAGAGTAATTCAAAACAACAAATTAACAATTAAAGGACSGGTTATAGAAGGAGAAAAATTGTGGTGGGAAGAAAACAGAACCAATTCAAGAAATAAAAAGTATTTTAAAAAGATGTCAAAAATATAGTCCTGATGCAATCATAGCATAGGACACTACTGAACACAAAAAGAAAGAAAGAAAAAAAAAAGAATACCCTCGAGAGATTATAAAAGCAGTATTTGCAGAGTAATAAGGCAAAAGCCTGTGGGGTATTAAGGCTAATGGGAGATAAAGAAAGCAGAAAACAATKATTAAAACTACTCTTTCAAGATCTAGGAAGGTGAAGAGGTCACAGTAGGTCATGGGGAGGCACAAGGTAGATAAAAAGAAAGTGAATACAGAAAGGAGATTTATTGATCTCAGGAATAAGATTGGTTGTACAGATAGGAATCTACAAAGAGGAGAGGCAGCTTATTTAATAAAAGAAAAGAAAACCGAGAGGCTCAAGAGGTGGGGGATCCAAGTCATGCCTGCAATTCTAAGACAAAGTAAAGGCTGTGACAAAGAAATTATAGTTTTGGTAAAAATTAATAGTAAAGAGGAAAAAATCAGAGAGAAAGATTTGGTATGAAGTTAAGGTTTGTAATACAGGTCCTAAGAAAGATGAAGAAATGTCCCAAAGATAAAGAGGTTGGATAAGATAAYGGAATTAGGTGAGCAGATGGAAAAGGAAGGACATTCCTTTTTTGAATAAGGTAACAAATACAGTCAGTTCTTTTCATGGCTGGGGAAAACATTTTTGAGAATCTCTACCTACATTCCACACTCCACCCCTCCCTTAGGTTCATTAAATACTGGTAGTAAGAGATGGAGCAGATAACAAGGAAGATGTCATCCTCAGGGAACAGATATCAATTCTGCAAGGTTRTAGAAAGATTTAGAAGAAAAATTTCAATCACAGAAAATTGGAACTCAAAAGAAAAAGGTTACAATGGGCCCATGAGAAGTAATTAGAAGATAGATTAGACAAGAGGTCATACTTGCATATGGAAAAGAACAAGAAACAAGAAAGTAGAGCAGGAGAGGGCATTTCATCTAGGATGTTAACAGAAGATCACAGACAAAAGGAGATAGATCATTGGAAGTCAGCAGAACCTCCTGCATACTAGAGGCATTCTGAATAGATGGAGGAGAAAAACTAAAATAACCTAATTAACCTTGCTCTATTCTTTGAACATCAAAAAAATTAAATTCAACTTTTTCTCAAAATACACACTGAAAAAGTGTTTCCACCTATGAAAACTTTTACCCAGTCTTTCCCACAAGTATCATAGGATTTCTGGTGAAGGGATAAGCAAATCACATTATGTATCCATCCCACTCCTTACTTTTATATTACATGGGTAGAATGAGATTAGAAATGAACTTGAGGTCTCCCTTGAAGATTTTTTATTTTTTTCTTTAAGAAGTTTCAAAAGAAAGCATGCAGCCACAGGGTGTGGAAGTTGGGGATAATGGGATTTTACAGACTGATTGTGTTCAAGCATAAAAGCAGTGCTTCTTTTTTAATGCCAGCTGCCTAGAGGAGAGGGAGGGCAGTCTAGACAATTACTACCAAAAGTAATTACCCTTGAATGTATACTAGGGTTCTGATTATTCTGACATTACAAAGCCGAGGCTAGTTCATAGCTACATTCCTTTAGAAAGCATGCAGTCACTGCTGGAATTCCATATTTTAATTTTCTTGATATGGAGACCAGTGTTAATGTATTATTCCAGAAAAGTCTTGGTAAAACAAAAACCTAAGAAAACTCTCTTATTAAAATAAATTCCATAGATATTGGTGGCATTTTATACATACAATGGGTTTAATAGGTGCCTGGTGATTAGGGTGCCACTGCTACTGACACTACCTTTCATTG